CCCCCCCCCCCCCCCCCCCCTTCTCCCCCCTCTTTCCTCTATTAAAGCCCTTTCTTCGCCCTTCTTTGAGCCCTTTCTCTTCCAACATGGATCCAAGCTAAAAAGTAGATCGACCCACAACGTACCGCCATGCTAGGAGCCAGTTACGGTGGTTATATGGCTAATTGGATAAACGGACATAACGTCTTTGGTTTCAAAGCTATTGTATGTCATGATGGGATCTTTGATACTCTCAGTACATATTATACGACCGAGGTGAGTTTCCTGTCCCCCCTTATTTTATCTTCCTTCGTACCCCATTGTGCCCCAAACATCTCCCATTTCACTGCTCGGACGAATCTCGTTTATTCTATGTGTATTGGCTTATCTGATCCGAACGATTGTTTCACTAGTCTTTTGCTGCTCATTGCCTGAGCGTGCTATTTTCTTGATGGTCAAGTGGAGAAAGGCTCCGTGTTTTATCATCTAGGTCAGTTAAGGAGGGAGGAGGCTGATAACCAGGAACTATGGTTTCCCACGGAGTGAGTACCACTTATACGAAAAGAGTTGACGGGAAGGGACTTCATGGGAACACCTCTTAGTTCAAGGTCGAATTATGAAAAGTGGGTGATTTCCCCTCTATCCTTTCATCAGGGGCTACAAGAAGAATGGGCAAAGCTGAAATTAGATGGAATCCAATGAATCATGTATCTGAATGGAATACACCGGAGTTGGTCATTCATTCTGGGAGAGATTATCGATTAGTAGATGGTCAAGGTTTTGGTGAGTTCCCTTTAAGTCATTCTCTCTTTAGTCCCTATCTTCTTGACGTATTCTCTATACTGAACAACATCAACAATACCATTTGGAGATCCTACTGCATCTCCACTCACCTTTCCCTTCTTTCCTACCCATTTCAGATGTCTTCACTAGTAACAGGTTGTTCGTATCTCGCACTCCACTATATGGGCACTCCGACATCGAAAAAGGACAGATGAACTTACTTGTAGCTACCTTCACAGCTCTTCAAACTCAAGGTGTCCCAAGTCGATTACTATACTTTCCTGATGAGAATCATTGGGTTTTAAAACCGCACAATTCAGTGAAATGGCATGTGCGTCTTATCTCTTCTTCCGTCCTTTCTTCCAACCCCTCCTTCATTGACCGTTCCCCTACTTCGTAGCTTGTCCTGCACCAGGTCGCAGTAGATCCTCACCGACTTCTTGGAGGTAGCCATCATCGACTCTCGGCCATGTCCAACATAGCTCGTCTCAAGTGGTTTTGTGTCCAAAAATGGCGACAGAGAGAAGTGGCTGATATGTAGCACGAAGTATTCCGTTGGTTAGAAGAATGGATCGGTGTCGGTCCTACCTCTTGACCTCGACCATTGTTCACAACATGTCTCAACTCGGTCTAAGTACAGCTCTTTTCATCGTGAGATGGTATATTCTTTTCTCACCCCTTGGAACTGCCGTATAGCCGTATAGCCGTGGGAGAGGAAAGGAAAGGAAAGGGAATTGTACAAAGTAGGTATTATAGGGGTAGTCATTCCTTTCATCGTCGAATGTACTGTACCTACAGTACACTTTTTTGTACTATTGCTACTCTGTATGTATATCCGGTGCATACATATATCATTTCTCTAACCCCGACCATCCCAGTTTAGCCAGCCTGTTCTTGGCGACCAAAGTTAATTTTGTATCATCGCTTACATCCGAAACTTTACTCGGTGGTCGTCCTCTCACTCACCATCTCTCCTCCATCTCTTCCCTCTCCCTCTCTCTCTCTCTCTCTCTCTCTCTCTCTGTATTCTTCCGAATTATATATCACCTTTCAACCTGTGTAGTGCTCTCTCTGTCATTCTCGTCGTTCCCCTGGCCATTAGCAGAAAGTGTCGAGCTACGGACCGATAATATCTCACATTCCATCTGGCCTACTCAAGCTTTTCGACCTAGTCCAGTAACTTTTCTTACCTCACTCTTCTATACCCAAGTCAGGCACTTGGAACAATCACGATTTTTCAAGCCCTTTTATGATTTTCTGTTCAAGGGTCTTTTCCCAATTTGCTTCCAAGCCATCCATCATATTCGTTATACAGGGGGAAAGGAAGATATGTCTAAGTCCACGGGTGAGGTCAAAGAACATACTGGTGTCAATCATGTTCATCCCGAATTTGAAAGATCTGGAAAAGAGAGTGAAACCATCCAAACCGCTATACAATCCAGTGGGATTGTACAATCTCGACCGCAAAGTCAGATAGATGGGATAGGAGAGATAGAATGGACAGAAAGGGAGAGAAGGATAGAAGAGGATGTAAAGAAGATAAACCAAACAACGGATTTAGGTGGGGAAAATGTTATGGGAACGAGAGGATATACTTTCGAACTGATCGTTTTGGGTAGTGGAGGAGGTCCTCTTGAGACTGATTGTTCTGGGTGAGTTTGAGTTTTCGTTTGTTTCTGTAACTCAATCACGAAGATGCAACTAAACCATGCGATGTTTAGTCGAGTTAGTGGTTTACTGGTTTGTCAAACCACCGGTCAGCGGTCTGCGGGAAAGATCATGGTATTTCACAATTTGGATAAAGTAATCATGAAGATAATGATCAGTGCTCATGATTATAGATATCTATTGAAACCGATCAACAGACGATGGGAAGATGGTTTTTTAGCTCTTGAAGGAGGTGAGTTATACATCATTCCTTCCTCACCCTTTCCACGTCTTAAATTCCTCCTCTACCCTTTGCGACGTCTTCATTTACACATCGTCTTCTCCATCTCCTACATTATCACTTCATCTCCCCCTCCTCCATTATTCTCCGTCTTGCAAAGCAGGGGAAAGGGTTAACAATCTGTCTCCGTCCGATATGACATTGACCATCATGCACAGTATCAAAAGCATGGGCCCGACCTACTTGTTCCTTCGATTTTCTGAAGAGAAGAGCGAGGAGTTTCTGCAAGGATAAGCGAGGATGTGTAAAAGCTCATGACCAGGTTCCGGATTAGGAGCTTTGGTTTCTCTTTTTCGAGAGAAGGACTCAAGTGATATGTTCCCGGATCTCGTATTCCCTTCAACACACAATACTCCGGTTTTGAAAGCTGCTTATGTATTTTCTTTCCTCGAGTGAGTCTTCATTATCTCCTTCCTCTTACATTTCCTCATACTCCCTCCTACCCCCCATTATCTACCCTATCGAGTCTGCTAAATTTCTCCCTTCTGTCCACACTATGTCGTATGTCCAATTTACTTAACGTCTCTCTTCTGTTCCCACCGTACTCTTCACCAAATCTATTGAACCTCTCTTCAATTCTCAGAACAGAGAATAAAGAGTAGACTACCACTCGGCTGCTCACATTTTTATATTCCAATTTTTATCTGACTACTCTGCTATTACCCAAAGCTCAAAGCTTATGTCCCAGATGTTACCTCATCACCCACGCTCATTTAGATCATAACCTCTCTCTTATCCTTCTTTCCGGTTCTGTTCCTTCCCGTATCCCTCCCCCGTCCCATCCCATCACTCCATTATCCCCTCTACCACATTCACAAACCCCTATACCTGAAGCCAGCACCTCTTCCTCTCCCAAACAGCACCTTTCAAAGTCGATCCCTCATGATAACTCTCAATCTATCACTCCAACCAATCCTCCACCACGAATAATAGAAGTTGAACCTCCCCCTCCCGTAAGACCTCCAGTTTACGCCATAAAACATACTCTTGATAAACTCGCCATGGCGTACGGAGGTGATCTCTGGCCTCAGTTAGGTTCATGGGCTCAAGAAGAACTCCCTGAGAACCGTAAGAAAAGACGGAAAACTTCTTTAGCTCACACTGGTCCAAATGACGGTAGCGGTGTTATCTTCTCTCCGTAAGCTTAATAATCTCACCATACTCAATAGCTGATCTATAGTCTGATCTTGGCTCAAACTCATCGTCCTTTACATCCGACATTACCAATCACAACCTTGGCTTTTCCGGTGAATCACGGTTGTACTTCTAAAGGAACGTATGAATCTTCAGCTTTTTTCATACGATACGATCCTGGTGCTTTATCTTCAAATTCTGAATCAGTCATACATCAGGACTCTCATAATCTCTCTTCATCTCAACGTCCCTCTTTGCTCACGTCATTCGGTGATGTTGATTCCTCCACTCAACGGTCATCTTCTAGTACGACCTCTTCTTCTCACCTCCACGCAGAGACGAAGTCATCGATTCCGCTTGCGGGACACAGCGATGTCAAACACGTTGATACAACTGTGAGGAATTCCGGAGAGGGTAGGGAATTCTTATTCTTTGGGGATGTGGAAAGTGGTTGGAGATCTGATGGAGAGCTGAATATTGATCAAGCCCGAGGAGAGGAGAGTGAGCGTTTGAACAGAGCTATATGGGATGAAGCAGCCACTAGTTGGATCGAAGGAAGATTAGCAGGGGTTTTTGTAAGTTTTAAACTCTTCCCCGTGTCCCCTCACCCATACTCCTCTGTCCCTCTGACACTTCGTTCCACCACTTTCTGTACTATTCGAGTATTACATTACTGTCACCTGGGACCTGGGACCGGGTAAAGGGTATTTTTTGGGAAAATGGAGTGAATAAGTTAACTTCATCGACAGTTTCACTGATAAATCAGATAGAATGCTCATACGACTCATCCCGTCCACAATCACTCATGTTCGGTCACCTATCTCCCCCTGGTTTGTATCACGAATTAACCACTTTGGCCACTTTGGTCCGTTCACGTCTTCCACTCCCTCCTAATGGGGCCGAATCACCATCTCGCCAAATTAAAATCTCGAACAATACACCCACATCTAGCATAGATACCAAATCACAATCATTTCATAACGTACCATCACAATCCAATCATCACTTGCTTGCATCTGATATGAGCACAAAATCAACTACATCAACGCGATCTACTACCTCGTCACAGTCGTCATACAAAAGAGATGTTGTAACATCAAAAGTCCCCAATAACAACCCAGAACAATATATGACACATTCTCCTCTCAGTCCAATCATGACAACCCCATACACCGCACCGACCCAGATAATCAAACCACTTAAAGGTTTGAGGATATTCGTAACGCATATGAAAGAGAATCTTCTTCCTCATCCTAGTGGAAGACCCTTGCAGGAGATTATAATGTCCGAGTTGGTGGACCTGGAGGATAAGGGAAAGTTGGGTGTGGAGTTTATTCATGTTAAGAGGGGTGATAGGATATGTGAGTTTGTCAACAATCTTACACTCCCTTTCTTGTCTCCCATCATTCCATACTTCTTCCGGCTGCCACTGCCCCTTTGCAAATCAAGTCGGCAAAATTCCTTCTTTCCGATAGAAAAACAACCACTGTCATTGGTCGTTTCCACTATGTGAATGACTTTTGTTTGTGTCATACTCTCATATCCAACCATGTCATGTAGCTGATGATAGTGATCTGAGTCATTTTTCTCCCGCGCTCATGAACATGTCTATCATCCATCAACCAACATGCGGCCATTACGTTCGTATCGACTCCCCCTGAATGGCATCTTACTGATCTCTGAAGTTCACCCCTGACATCCTTAACACTATGTGCGATGGAAGCTCATTCTGGATCCTGGAACAAACTCTATGTGAAGTCATATTCAACTGACAATCTCCCGTATGTTCACTGACATCCTCCACATCCGTACGAGTACAAGATTGGACAAACTGAACACACTGTATTCCCCTGCTAGTGCTTGAAAGCAGTGTTGTTCACTGAGTTTGAAATATCAAGTCCGACTTTCTCCATATCAGTCCTCCTCCGACATCTGCGGGTGCACACATCGGTCGATCCGTTCCTCTTTTTCGATGAGGTGGTGATCACTACCTCTATATGTTCCGGCCGAGGTCGTTTCTTCATACTGATGTGTGTTGTGTCTGGATCACGTATCACTTACTTACTCAGCACAAAAGCTGTGTTGAGGATTCGAGCTGTGTTTTTTCATGTCCGACCTGCGAAATCGGTCGGAGTCGGAGTTTGCCACTTATCCTGCGTTTCTTATAACAGTCGTTTCCCACATGTATTCGATGTACTTTCTCAACACAGGATTAACTTTAACTTCGGACATGGACGGGAGCCCAGAACCGAGTGCTTTTTCACATGACATTTCTGATGCGAATGGCGAGGAGCAGTTACGCAACATTATGGGTGATCTGTCCTTGACTCCCAAGTCAGAGATAAACCGTCCGGTACCAGCTTCATCGGGGGAAGAGGACGATGACGGTGAAGATCTCGTGGGGGACGAGATCGAAATGGATGAAGGAAGTGAACACTCTACTGGATTCACTCCCACCATTAATGGAAACGATAGACCTCTGAGGAGGATCTTCACCTCGGGCGTTTTGGGCAACATGTTAGCCGATAGAATCGGGCCAGGACGGCCGAACCGCCGTTAGAATTACCCCTTCCGTCGAATATTTCTCCGTTCAACTTATCCTCTGAACTTTATTCGATCGTCTCTGGTTTTATGCGTGTGAGTGGAATGTGATAAGTATAGAGACATGTAGAATTGATGCATGCTCTTTTTCCCCTCTGTATTATCATCTAATATCAGCAAACAGATTAACAGTCGGAAGTCACATACCTTCTGTGTATAACAAAGGCAAGTTCCCATTTCTAACTCTCCTCATAATGACCTCCGTGTCGTCTAAGATCTCTCTTGAGAACCACCCAAAGTTATCCCACGATCCAGCATCGTATGCTCCGTGGAGGAAGTCGATCGAGGTGTATCTACAGATAGGTGACGTGTGGAATATCGTCACAGGTAATGATACCGAACCTGGTCGCATAGGGGTGAGATCGGCAGCTGAGAGGGCGGGATCAGTACCTCCTACCACGCCCGTCGAAGGGCAAGTGGTTGGTAGAAGGATTACTGGAGAAGAGTGGAAGGAATGGGAAAAGTGGCAAGCGAGGGAGAATAAAGCGCAGGGGATGATCAAGGGAACAGTGTCGGATGCTGTGATGCTTGATATATCTGAGAAGATGTCAGCTAAAGAAATGTGGGACTACTGCATAGCCCTGCATGTAACAGCGACGATCGAGAATCAAAGGAATGTCCGTCAAGCGTTGTTTAGCTATGACTTAAGGGACGATGCGACGGCCGAAGAAATGGCTAAGCATGTGGAGGATTTCTCGAAGACGATGTCCGAAGCGAAATTGGTGGGGTTGAAGTTTAACTCACAGGATCGAGCTGGGTTATTCCTCAATACCATTCTAGCACCATCCTACAGGATCATTCAGATCGAAGTAACATCCCTCATAGCAGAGGAAAGAACTTGGGAAAAGGTCTTATCGATCTTCAATAAAGAAACGGCGAGACGTAAAGCGCGCCCTGTTGGTAGAACCAATAGGAAGGGATTCGCGATGTTCGTCGAAGGAAATAAAGGAATAAGGGTGAACCGAGATAATATCTCTGATGGTCAGCCCAGGAAAGAAACTAGAAAGTGTTATAACTGTGACACTGTAGGACATCTAGCGAAGTACTGTCGTAAACCTAAAAGAGAGGATACGAACAGGAAAGAAAACGCAGATGTAAAGGATGGAGGTAAAAAGAAATGGAGGAATAATAAGAATAATAAGAAAGGACATACGGTCTCGAAGGATGAGAACCAGTCCAAGGATAACTCCAAAACCTCCTTGATGTATTCGTCATTGGATGGTGAACACGAGGCGTGGGCCGGGATGGTGTTACGGGGTAACAACGAATCGAGAGGACTCTATCGAGTTCGACGGATTAGGACAGAGGAAAGCGGGAGTTGGAGGCAGTGCTGCAGTAGGTAGGGACGGGTTTTCCCTTTTCGAGATTTCCCCACTGGGTTTGCTCAAAAGCGGTTTTTCACCTGTCCGAGTATGTACATAGACGCTTGCAGTAGGAACTGAGAGGAGGACACGGATACCTGTAGACAGTATATAGTACAATCAGCAAAGTACCAACTTTGCTGATTCTTCAATATCATTCTTTGGCTACATCGATTGCAGAGGAGACACGATCCATTAGCACCAGAGCCCCTAGATTTCCACGAGACCTCCATCGAGTTCGACCCAACCTGCGACCTAGTCGTCGTGTTTCCAGTACCGTTACAAGTTGAAGAATCAGCCTTACGCACCTTGGGTCGAATCGGAGAGTACTGTATGCTCACCAGAGGGAAAGCGCGGAAAATGATACCAGAAAAAGAGGAGTTGGAACAAGGGCTGGTCCCAGAGGAAGAAATACCAACAAGTTCTTCGAGAAGTACCATTTCACATGATCTCACTTCTACTACCACTACCCCAGATCCGCTAAATGAATTATCGCAGCAGTTGTCACAATTGTTAGCCATTATGACGATGCAACAAAAGGAACAAAATGCATTAAGGGAAGAACTGGCTACGATGAAAGCTGACCGACAGAACCAACAGATACTCACATCGAAAGGGGCAAGTTTGATCGAAGTCGAAGAAAACAAGCCGTGTTTGGAGCCAAAACTTACCAACAACGAACGAACAGGAAGAACCAGGTGTGCGGATCCACCTACCTTCAGTGGAGAACGAGGAGAATTGGACAACTTCCTTGCAGCATGTCACATGAACTTCGAATTCAAAGGGGCAGAGTACGCCACCGATCGCAGAATGTCACGAACTACGTCGTAACACCTCGATTACTCCACCAACAATGACCCTCCTTTGGCCATCAAAACCCCATCACGCCTTAACCTCTTTACTCTACACGTAACTCAGGACTTCTGACACCAAGTACGGCGAAGTTAGACGGAGTTAGGCTAAGTAGGGACAATGGGAGCAGAAGTACGGCGAAGTTAGACGGGGTTAGGCTAAGTAGGGACAATGGGAACAGAAGTGCGGCGATGTTAGGCGGGGTTAGGCTAATTAGGGACAATGGGAGCAGAAGTGCGGCGATGTTAGGCGGAGTTAGGCTAAGTAGGGACAATGGGAGCAGAAGTGCGGTGATGTTAGGCGGAGTTAGTCGAAGGAGGAAGAGGATGGCCGAGGGCTCGGGGAAGTTGGACGAAGTGCGTTGAAGTACGTCAAAGCGCGAGAGGGTTGGATGAACGTCTAGGAGGAGTAGATAATATTAGCTGAGAAGATCGCTGAAGTTCTTCAGCGATCCTTGATTGTTGTCAGTAGTGAAAGACAGATAGAGATAGCTATAAATCAAGATACATCGCCATCAGTAGAACAAAACCCTAGTTAGAGTAACTACGCCGAAGTACGCCGTAGTTACACCCCTTTCGACGTCTGCGCCCTCCTGGTTGGGTGAGACATCGACTCAGAGCGTGAAGTTAGCCGAGGTTCGTCGACCGTCGGTCTATTAAGAAATAGTTGTTCGACGGCCGTGACAGTATCAAGGATCGCTCTTACCGACGACCCGTGCGAACCTCGGAGAAGTACAAAGATCGAAGGAGGAAGAGGATGGCCGAGGGTTCGGGGAAGTTGGACGAAGTGCGTTGAAGTACGTCAAAGCGCGAGAGGGTTGGATGAACGTCTAGGAGGAGTAGATAATATTAGCTGAGAAGATCGCTGAAGTTCTTCAGCGATCCTTGATTGTTGTCAGTAGTGAAAGACCGATAGAGATAGCTATAAATCAAGATACATCGCCATCAGTAGAACAAAACCCTAGTTAGAGTAACTACGCCGAAGTACGCCGTAGTTACACCCCTTTCGACGTCTGCGCCCTCCCGGTTGGGTGAGACATCGACTCAGAGCGTGAAGTTAGCCGAGGTTCGTCGACCGTCGGTCTATTAAGAAATAGTTGTTCGACGGCCGTGACAGTATCAAGGATCGCTCTTACCGACGACCCGTGCGAACCTCGGAGAAGTACAAAGATAATATGGAACCAGAAAGAAGAATTACACGAGGGATGAGTAGGGATGGAGACAGGATGGAGGAGAACGAGAGGAGAGCATTGGAGGAGCTTAGCAGAGCAATGGGGCAGGACCTTGGAGTGGAGGATAGTGTGGGGGGATCAATTCAAGGAGATGAGTTCGTTCCACCGGTGCCTTCTAACCCTCCTTCTCCTCCGTCTAATGCTCTCCCACCTGCGGGATCCCCACTTGGATCAGACCAAACCCCACGCCCAAGAGAAAACACTGGAAGTACGGCGAACTTGGGAGAAGAAGGAACACAAGGGGTGGTGTTGGCCTTGATGCAGATGGTGGCGAATATGAACAAAGACATGATGGAGGAGAGAAGGCGTAGGGAGGAATGGGAACAGAGAAGAGAAAGGGATACAGTGGGCGGGATTGCAGAAGGGATATCAGAAGGAGTGAGGTACGCCATGGGACGGCAAACTTCGGCGACCCCAAGCGTAGTGGGCGAACAACGGAAGGGGATAAAGCTACCTAACCCAGACCTCTGGAGAGGAGATCGGAACAAGTTAACCGCTTTTCTGTCTGAGTGCGACGTACATTTCGAATTGAACTCTCATCTTTTCCCCGACGACACTAAGAAAGTCTTTTTCATGATCTCTCATCTACGCGAAACACCTCTTCTTGCAGTGCAGCCCGATCTATCCAAAAGACCTCTTCCTGAGTACCTCACGACACACGATCAGTTCGTTAAGTACCTCAAGACTAACTTTGGCGATCCAGACGAAGAAGGAACTGCGGCCCGACAACTTAACGACCTCAAGCAAACCGGGTCTGCTTCGGACTACTTCTCCGCCTTCCAGCGACATGTTGCGATTCTTAAGTGGTCTGATGATGGAAACCTAGTTGACCGAGCCAAGAAAGGACTAAAATCGCACCTTCTAGATGAAATTGCAAGACACGGTAGATCGTTTGGGACTGTGAAAGAGCTATTGGAGTTTGTGATTCCCTTGGACAACCGCCTGTGGAGGAGACAAGTGGAGAAGGAGGCAGAGAGGAAAAGGGAAGGAGGGATAAGGACAACGACAGGGATGGAAAGTCAGAGGACGGAGAAGAAAGAAGAGAAGAAATGGGAAAAGGGGCAACCTTCGGCGCAGGGTGGTGTCCAGGCGGCTATGATGTCGACGGTGGTAAAGAGTACACCGTCAAACATCGACGAAGTTCGCCGAAGATGGCCTAGGCCGAGCTCCGATCTGAGGGAGACAAGGAGGAAGGAGGGGAAGTGTACCGAGTGTGGTGGAGCAGGACATTGGCTGAAGGAATGCCCTGTAAGGGAGGCTAAGGTTAAGGTTGGACTGTTGCCTCCATGGGGGGAGAAGTTCGGAGAACGTGGTGGAGGATCGGGAGGGAACGCAGTACCTCTCGGACAGAGGAGGAACTTGAATGCGGTTGGAGGAGAAGTAGATTTGGAAGAGGACCAGGGAAAAGAAGAGGACCTGTCGCAGTAGGCGAGGCTCGGCGGGTCCGCCATATTCTCTCGGCCACCATTCCCAAACCCATAAAAGAAACACAGCTGATGGAGCCAGAGGATTGTGAATACAAAAATACACCACTCAGTACCCCTTGTTCATGCAATGTCGATAATCATCTCCTCATCCCTTCCGTTTCCAGAGATCAACCTAAATCGGACATTTTCATTAATGGAATAAAGCTAACTACGCTCTGGGACACTGGAGCTACTTGTTCATATATAAGCCCTAGGGCAGCAGCGAAGATAGGTGTAGAAAAGAGGCGATATCAGGTGAGCGTACCCGTTCACATGTTCGACGGCTCGGTGAGTGTCGCTGGACCCATCACCGAGTTTGTCGAAGTCGGATTTAGTTTGACGAAGGACGCCGAAGTGCGATCTGTTTGTCTCGATGTAACAACGCTCTGCGACGCAGATGTTGTGATAGGGTGGGATTGGATGAGGAAGGAAGGGGTTGTCCTTGATGGAAGAGACAACTCGGTGAAATTTCCCATCCCTACCCCACCAAGTGCGGCGAAGTTAGCGGCCATAGGGCTGGCGACTCTGACGGACGCGATAGACCTCCGCGGCGAAGATGAGCTTGAAGAGCTGAGCCCGGAGGAACAAGACGAGTTGTTCCAGGTAGTTCCTGAACAATACCACCAGTACATTGACGTTTTTAATCCGAAGAAGGGAGGAGAGACCCTTCCCCCTTCAAGGTCCTACGATTTGAAGTTTGAGCTTAAGGAGGGGGCGAACCTTAAGGTCGCCTCCCTCTATGCTCAAGGAGAAGATCAGAGACGCGCGCTGAGAGACATACTAGATCGCGAAATCGCCGCTGGCCGAATTCGGGCAAGTAACTCGCCATACGGCTCACCAATGTTTATGATACCGAAGAAAGCCGAAGGACAATGGCGAATGGTCATCGACTATCGAAAACTGAACGAAGCGACCATACCAGATGCCTACCCTCTCCCTCTAATAGGTCAAATTACCGAAGAACTTGGAAAAGCAAGGTATTTCAGCAAACTAGATCTAATTGGAGCATACCAATTGTTGAGGGTGACAGGGGGACATGAACACCTGACGGCGTTCAGGACACAGTATGGTATGTTTGAATCTCTGGTTGTTCGTGATGGGCTGCGAAACGCCCCCGCGGTCTTCCAACACTTCCTAAATGAGGTGTTTAGAGAGCTACTAGGGAATGGAGTCGTGGTCTACATTGACGATATCCTCATTTATGGGAATACGTTGGAGGAATTACGAGGAACTACGGCGAAGGTCTTTGAGGTACTGCGGAAGGCGAGCCTGTACGTGAAAGCTAGTAAGTGCGAGTTCGAAAGAGATTCGGTGGTGTTTCTAGGTTTCGTGGTATCCTCTAAAGGTGTATCGGTGAACCCAGAATACATTGATGCCATCACTTCCTTCCCACGTCCTAAGAATCTACGAGAGTCAAGGGGATTCATTGGAGTTGTAAGCTATTACAGGCGCTTTGTCCCCAACTTCTCGAAGATTGCTAGACCTATCAATGACTTGACAAGGAAGGAGGTACCATTTGTATGGGGAGTTGAACAGGAGTCAGCCTTCAAAGAGTTGAAGGCTAGGATGTGTACTGCGCCGGTATTAGCCCATTTTGACCCTACATTGAAGACGATATTACAGACAGATGCGTCGTTCTTCGGCTGGGGGTTCATAATTTCGCAGATCAACACGGCTGGTCAAGAACACCCGGTAGCTATTGAGTCTGGTGCCTTCAACACAGCTCAGCTGAATTATACGGTAGGAGAAAAGGAGTTCCTCGCTGTAGTGGAGGGTTTCAGAAGAAGGAGACACTTATTATTGCAGGTAGAAACCACAGTACTTACCGACCATCTAAACCTTACCTACTGGATGGAGCCGAAACAACTCAGTCCTCGGCAAGGTAGGTGGGTAGAGGAGCTAGCTAACTTCAGGTTTAAAATGGTTTATCGGCCAGGAACCCAGGCAAGTCTTCCAGATGGATTATCTAGACGGGCGGACTATCATTCCGGGAAAGGAAGTACCATGGTACAAGAGAGCAACCTTATCCAAGGTCTGCCGAAGTTCGACGAAGTTGACGCCACCACGTCGGAGTTGCGTCACCTCCTTCGAGCATTGCAAGGGACAAGGGAGGTAGAGGAAAATGATCTTGTGGACCCTATGGATCTAGTACTTGGAGTTCAGGAGGACGAAGACATAGAAGGGGTCAGAGAAGAATTATTAGGAGTCGTTTGCGCTGAGTGTTCTCATCCTACGTGTAACGATAACGTGCAGGAACCAGGATCAATCACCGAACTACGCCGTAGTTCGCGGTCTCCTTTAATACTTCGTGGGGGATGGAACTCAAGAGGGTTCCTCACGTTCGATGGTCGAACTTATGTGCCGAACTACGCCGATGCTCGACTAAAGATAATGAAGACGCGGCATGACTCGGTCCTAGCGGGTCACCCAGGCTCAGCGAAGACTCTCGAGCTAGTCCTACGGGACTACGTTTGGGTTGGAGTAAGGAAGGATGTTGAAGATTACATCGCTGGATGTGCGGTGTGTCAGAGAGCAAAGACTAACAGGCAGAGACCCCATGGAGAGCTTAAACCACTGGAAGTGGCTACGAAGCCATGGTCCAGCATTTCGATGGATTTCATTGAAGAGCTCCCGAATTCCCATGGATACAATTCCATCTTAGTAGTGGTGGACCGGTTGACCAAATGGGCCATTTTTATCCCGACTACGACGAAGTTAACCGCAGCTGGCCTATCCGAGTTGATAATGGACTATGTGGTAGCTCAGCATGGGCTACCAGAGAACATAGTGTCTGACAGGGGATCGAAGTTTACCTCGAAATTTTGGAAGAACTTGACCGATAGTCTCGGGATAAGACTACATCTCTCTACTGCATATCATCCGCAGACTGATGGACAGACTGAACGAACCAACCAATCCTTAGAGCTCTACCTTCGAATCTTCACTTCTTATCAGCAGAACGATTGGTCGAAGCTACTAGCTCGAGCTAGTTTCGCCTACAATAACACCCACCATTCCGCGATTAATAAGACACCATTCTATGCGAACTATGGATATCATCCTCGGTGGGCGGAAGAGATCAAGGCCAGTGAAGTCGAAGTACCCGCTGCTACGGTGATGGTAAAAGACTTGACTGAAATACACAAGGATTGTATCGAAGGAATTGAGAAAGCTAATGAGAGGTACGCCGAAGGATACAATAGGAAACACCGGGCTACGCCGAACTTCGTGGAAGGAGACCTAGTGATGCTGTCGTTAGAGAATATTAAGACGAAGAGACCAATGAAGAAGTTAGATGTTAAGCAAAGTGGGCCGTACAAAGTAGTACGGCAGGTGGGTTCTCATGCTTGTAAATTGGAACTACCAGGAACGATGGCAGGTATCCATGACGTATTCCATGTCTCCTTGCTCCGTCCTTATCATCCTCCAGTATTCCCTGGTCAGCAAGCTGAACCACCTGGCCCAGTAGAGGTAGATAATGTAGGGGAATCGTGGGAGGTAAAAGACATTGTAGACTCTAGAGTAAATAAGAGGTCAGGAAAGTTAGAGTACTTGGTGGAGTGGTTAGGTTACGAAGGAACAGACGACTCAGTATCATGGGAACCAGTGGAGAACGTCGATGGAGCTGACGACATATTGGCGAAGTTCCACGAACTTCACCCTACTAAGCCGAAGGAAGGGCGACTGCGAAGGGCTAGGAGATAGAACGTACTGCATACAACATAGGATTACAGCTACGTACCGCTCACTTGTCCTTACTCTTACCCTTACCTTTTCCTTTTCCTTTCTCCTTCGATCTACTCGGTCCCGCGGGATTGGTGTGGAGGCTACCGATGACCGAAGGTAGATCGAGAGTCTCAGACGGGAACGCAGTAGAGAGAGAAGCATTCCATGCCCGATTCATAGCCCCGAAGAAGTCACCGAAGTCCTGGACATCTCGAGCAGCTTGCATGCTCGGAGTCCTCCACAGAGAACGTATGGTCCGTAGACACTCGAAGGGAAGACTGAGGAGGTCGAGAGCAGTCTGGGCGGAAGCTGGGACACGAGAACTACTACGGCGACCTAACCAGTCAAGGGACGGTGGTGGCTCATACGCCATAGGAGTGACTAGGAAGGGGGTGTCGAACAGTCTTCGGCGAACATCGGCTATCTCAGTAAGGCTTCGGCGAGAGACGGCCGCTAACCTTGTCCTTGCTTCGTCGTCCAGAGCCCCAGTGTTGACTACATCTACTAACGCCGCAGTAAGATTGTTTAAAGCGTTAGCTTGACGAGAAGAGAAGTCAAGCAGGAGAGATGTATCATTTCGGGCGGCCTCAAGCTGAGTAGTGAGACCGAGGACGAGAGAACGATAAGTGGCGAATTCCTTTTCGTCCTCAGGAATACGGACGTCCAGGGAGATACGAGGGTGGACGAGGGACAACCGGGGAGCAGAGGGACCAGCACGCTGAGTATCTTCACTTTCCACATCACCATCATTGAAGGCAACCTCCTTCCCTTTAGATTTCCCTTTTGATTTCTTTAAAGAAGACTTCGGTGTCTTCTGGGAAGCAGAGGGAGGGGTGACGGGAGGGGCCGCCGAAGTGGCCGGAGGAACAGAAGGACGCCGACTTCGGGTGCTGTGAGCCGGAGGAGAAGCTACCACTGGAGAGGACGGACGTGGCGCCGAAGGACGAGAGGCCGAAGGACGGGAGGCCGAAGGAGCAGAGGCCGAAGGACGGCGAGAAGACGAAGGAGGAACAGCCGGGAGACGTGATGGGCCGGCCACAGGAGCGAAGGGCGACGGCGACGGAGGCGACGGGCGGAGGTCCGGCGAAGTACGGCGAACCGACCGGAGAGACGAAGACGGTACCCGCGAACGGGGGACAGACGCTGGAGTCTGAGGAGGGGGGAAGGGCGAAGAGTCGGAGGGACGGGGCGGGATGTCCCGGGCAGAGGAAACGGGACAGAAGGAGCAGGGGCCAGACGTGCATGAAGCACAACGGAGGGCCTTGTTGTGTGGCCTGACTGCCTTGAGGCAGGGCCAGTTTGGACGATTATACGTGATAATCTCACGTCTACTAATTAGCAGGAGTAACTTCGGCGTAGAACGAATAGGTGGACTCACCGGCAACGATCACACGCTTCGTCAACACCAACCGCGATCCAACGACCAGGCTCGGACTTCATCTTCTCCCACAAGTACTCTTCTTCCCGCAGTGATCTCTTCACCCGTTTGGGCGAAGGCTCCCCTCTGGGAGAAGGGGGGGGAGCAGCGACGGGGGCGGCGGGAGCAGGACCGGCGGCGGGAGCAGGACCGGGGGCGGGAGCAGGAGCGATGGCGGCGGCAGCAGCGGCGGCAGCGGCGGCAGCGGCGATGGCGTTGGGGGGGGGGAGAACCCCGGAAGAGGAAGAAGAAGAGGAAGAAGAAGAAGAGGAAGAAGAAGAAGAGGAGAGGGAACGGCGTCGTTTCTGGCCCACAATTTGAGCAGGGGGAGGGGCAGGAGCGGCTGCGAGTTAGCAATGTCTTGGAGAGCTAAAGAACAGATAAACAAGGCCAAGTTCGGCGAAGGTGTGAGAGGTTGGACGAAGAACTCACGCTCAGGACTATCTACGTTGTTGTCCTCTACACTAACCGCCACCATATCATCATCCGAGTGTTCCTCTAACTCGGTTTCACCCTCCGACACGATTCTATCATCCTCATCACTATAATCACCCCCTTTTCCTTCGAAGTCTGACTGATCGTCCGACTCCGAACCACTGAGCGACTCCTGGTCGGAGGAGGACGGAGACTCACCAGGACGAAAGGCGGGCGTCCTGCGGCGAGGGCTGGCGGCAGGAGGGGAAGCAGAGCGAGAACCAGGAGGAGGAGAAGCAGAGGGAGAACCAGCGGGAGGACCGACGGGAGGAGAAGCGGAGCGAGGAGGCGGGACATCGCCAGACGGCTCTCCTCAAAGAGAGGGTGTCGAGGCCGAGGGAGGAGACTTGGCGAGATCTGTCGTCGAAGGAAACTGAACATCAGGCTAAGTCCGGCGAAGTAAAGGTAAGTGTCGAGGAATAACTCACGAGCAGAC